TGTTTTTTTCCATTATCTATTTAAAGAACTTCCAGCTTTCTTTTTTCCATCAGTGTTTTTGCTCACAATCACTTTTGTTGAAGCTCCGCCTCAGCTTTGGAAGCTTAACTCTTTACAGACCATCATATCGCTTCACATTTTTCTGCGTCACGGCTTGGGACTATGCCCTGTTCAGGCTGAATGCGATGGGGCTGTGTTGCGATGATGGTTGTCATATTACCTGGCCTAGAGACATTGCCACCAACCAGGCTCTGCATGAGACATCTCTGAGACATCAAGCCATTCCAGTGGCCCTAGAGAAGTGTCCCCAGTCTGTTCCTGTTCAGCTCATTCTTGTAGTTTGCCTGGATTTATCTCCTGCTCCGTGTTTTCAGGACTCTGCCAAGGCCGGTGGCTGAATTCACTTGTGTGCGCGGAAGTCCTCTTTTGCCACGGCACCTCTCTGCTGCGCTCCCTGCTTCCTCCTAAGGAGCAGTGAGACGCTGCATCTGTCCAGTCTGTCGCTTCTGGAGCAGTGGATATATTCTGTTACAGGCAGTGAGAGTTTTCACCCTGGCAAGATCCTGCTCCTTAACAGTGAGCTAAACCTTCCCTTCAGATTAATTATTCCCTGCCCTAGTTTCATCCCCTCACTTCTCATGGTCTAGGCAGTGGCTCCTCCCTCCTGGCGTCCACATACTTCAGATTTTTGCAGCTGGTTTGTTTTGTCCTGAGTCACTGCTTGACTCTGCTGAGCTGTGAGCCTGGGGCTGGGCTTGCCTTGCGGGTGGGTCCAGCTCCCATCGAGATTCGTGCTGGCAAGAGGTAGTCCTCAGTGCTGATAGCAGCAAGTTGCTCTGCGTCCCACTGCAGATGGCATTAGCAGCCTGGGTGCCCTGCAAGGCTGCGCCGTGCCGCGGGAGATGCTGGCAGGTGAGCCCCGATGAGGAGGAGTTGTGGGGTGTTGCAGCCTTTTGGGTGAGCCCCCCAGCCCGTGCGTGATGGATACGCGTCCTGTTGGGTCTGCATCTTCATGGGTCAACTCTGCTTCCAGACTAGGGCAGGGAGGAAACCTGTAATTGCATGTGTGCTCCCGCATAGGAGGTTGGGTAATAAGAATTACAAGTTTTCATTGATTGGAAGAAAGTCTGTGAAAGTGGTACTTCTGAGACGAGCAGGATGAGCTGTGTGATTGCAATATTAAATCCTGGTCTCCATGGGAAGGGCAGAGGTGGGAGTGCGCCCCATCTTGACACCTCTCTGCCAGAGCCCGCGTTACAAGTCAGTGTTCAATCTCCCGTGCGTCAGCAGGCGAACTAGCAGCGCTCAAAAGCGGGTGCTCCTGGGAGGCTGTCACAGATCATCAAAGCAATCCAGAGAGCCAAGGAGTTGTCACAAATTTGCCAGAGGGGACAGAGAAAACAATGTTGTTAGAGGTTTTAATTTAGAGAGGCAGATTGCAGAGCTCATGTAACCTATGAGAGAACAAAATTTGAGTCTGAAAACTGTGATTGAGAACATTGTTTTTGGAAATGTATTTCTGAATGCCTGTTTGGCATCTGTGTCATGGGTAAACACAAGTTTGTCACTGGGTTGGAATCGTCTTAGTGCCTCCAAAGTTGATGGGCATAGTGACTCAGACTGAATAGTAACATTTAAATAGAAAATCTGTGAAGTAAAATGGGGATCTGTTTAAAAAGCATTTACTAGATGACCAAAAGCCATAGCTGTAAAATGGGTGGGTTTAGTTGCCTGCTCAATAAGCCTCATTTAGGGAAAGCTGCTATTAGACATACAAGAACGTGTGACAAACAGGAAAAAAGAAATCAATGGCAATCACAGAGATGGTATGAAATACAAAGAGTTTAGGAATGCGTCAGAAACAAATCCTAAGTATTATACCTATTGGTCAGATAGAAGAGGCAGATATTAAAAACAAATTCTGTATTTTAATTTTTTGAACTGCGAGTGTTTGGAAAGAGGCAGGGCAACCTTTGATTTCATTGCTGAAGGAGGATGCCGGACCAGTGATAAATGGCAGGAGTCCTAAGAGACTTGGCTGCAGCGTAGCCTTGTTTTTAAATGAGCCTTGAAATATTCAGAAAGAGCAAGAAGGCCAGAGGAGAATTCATTTGTATGAGCTTTCAAAATAACGCAAATGCTGATATGGTATAAGTGGGTAGAACTGGTGGCCAGCATCATGCCAGGTCAAGCAGGCTGAGCTGGTGACTACTGTGGTCTTAAAACCTGTGCAGGGAAGGTTTTAATTTCCCTCCCACAGGCGGGGATTTGAGACATGCAGAGGAAGGGTGTCATGGAACTGGCAACCTCACGAGTGTCAGTCGAATCCTCACCGCAGGGTGCTCTCTGAAAGGGCCTGACCTAGATTGACTTGCCTGGGGTTTGCATGGCGGAGCGTGGGGAGCTGCTGCATTCGCTGGCAGCAGTGGGCATCCCCGGCTCCATTTTGGTGAGCTGGAGCCAGACACATCGCGTGGCTAAAACTGGGAGCACAGCAGGGTTGTTTGGTGGTGCGATAAACCCCCAAGATGTCCTGTACAAAGCTTAATCCGGTGGCATTTTGCACGGGGATAAATGCAAAATCCTGTTCTTCGACCAAGGCAAATGTGATCTTTTCTATTTGTCTTCCCAAATGCTGCTATGTGGGTCATTTCTGGCTGTTGTTCTGGCTGGTCTTCATTTTCAAGATTCTTCCCAGGCCACCCCACGCTGCGATATCAGCTCACCCACCTCGCCTGGGTTTCACACACCTGTTTGCATTTCAGATTAACGCCTTCCTGCTTCTTCCAGGTTGCCTTCCCACCTGAGCTTGCTCTCCTGCAAAACAAATACCATTCCCTAAAAAAATATATATCCTTCTTTAAAATAACTTACTTGTTGTTACTTTCTTAACTCTGAGGTGCAGAGAACTGCTGACTGTATTATCTTGGCATTTCTCTGTCTGTCCTGTACGTTGTTCTGTCTCGTGTCCTGTTCAGGCTCCGAGCGCTGTGTCTCGGGCAGGATATCCTTGTTGGGTGTTTGTAGAGGACCTTGCACAGCAGTGCCTGGTCTGCTATTGAGGCTTTGCAGATGCTGTGGAAATGCAAACAGCAAACGTTAGACCCAGTGGCTGCTCCCAGGCCCTCCTTACAGACTCCTGCAGCCTTTGAGTTAGTAAAGTTCATCGCTGGGGAGTGACCTGGTGGGGAGCCAAGACAGCTGTTGACTTAGCTGAAACCAGCCTTTTCCCTTATGCAGGGTGGCTGCGACAGGGGTAGTTTTAAGGATTCAGGGAAGCCTGCTCTTCCCAATAATTCCTTACTAAATGTAGTGCTGGTCGCGCCACTGAATGCTCCTCCCCAGAGCTGGCCCTTTTGGCTCCCCCCAGGCTTGGTTTCAAGACAAGGGCAGCAAAGACGCCTGCTTAGAGAGATGAGTATCTCCCTCTTGTGTGGAGGGCATCTTCTGAGCACGGCTTCAGCTGGGTTTCCCATTTGCTGCGGTTGAGGGGTGTCTGAAGTTACTCCTGCAAGAGGCACGGCGGCTCATCCTCAGCCCAGGTCGCTGCGAGAAGTTGCTGTTCGATGCCCATGCTTCTGGTTTCTGTTTGTCGCCGCTGCTCTGCAACAGGAAGGGCTGGAAGCTCTGGCATGGCTTCAGCTAGTTATGGGCTCAGTCGGAGGCGGCTGGGAGCACAGGGGCCTCTCTGGGAGCATGGGGGTCCCCCGGGGCTGGGCGCGGTGGGTGCTGGGGTGCCAGGGTAAGTCCCAAGCCCTGCTGGGTGTCCCCGGGAATCCCCCGGGCTGAGCCGCTGTGGCCTGAGGCTGTAAGCAGAGAGCTTGGGGCGGTAGAGGTCTGGAAGTGCCTGTCCTGGATAAATATTTTTACACATGTCCGAGCTGGGGCTTCTCCGCAGCTCTGTTAAAATCCCACTGAGAGCGAGCAGCTGGGGATCGGGTACCCGAGGCGGGCTGGGGTGCTGCAAGGGCCTAGGGGC